TTTTTTGGGGGGGTTGTTGGGGGGGCTGGTTTGAGGGTAGGGACCAAATAAATTGATTTTTTCAACAATTTTTTTTTAAATTGGAAGTTGGAAGAGAGTTTGGAAAATGTTTTCCTTAAGTTTTGAAGGGAAGTCATTTTCCTTAAATTTGAAGAAAATGACTTGATTTGGAAAACATTTTCCAAAACATTTAATCCAACCAAACATGAGAAAATTGGAAAACATTTTTCGAAAATGTTTTCCTTCATACCAAACACACCCTAGATTCCAAAGATTTGTTACTTGAACGAAGCAAACTTACCACATTACACAACTATTTGAAGCGGCTTTTGACAGAAATCGACTTTGAAGAAGAGAGTTGAATTTTGGGCAGAAATCGATTTAGATTTTGGGGGTTGGTTTTGGGTGAAGTGAGAGAAAAGAGAGTGAGTAGAGGGAAATAATAGGAAAAGAGGCAAATGAAAAAATAAAAGGAGGGAATGAAATTTTACCCGCCTATTTTAGCCACAGATGTTTAGCCACAGTTCGTACTATGTAGAGAATTTTTTATTTTTTAGCTAATTTTGCCACAATTTTCACAACCGTGGCTAATAAATCGTGGCTAAAAGGCGATTTTTTGGTAGTGATTTCTTGTTATATCTCTTATTTCCTATATTTTTATTTGATTGTGCAATTAATATTGTAGAGTAACATGGATGATGAAAATGGCATGTGGTATCCAAATGGTGATGAATACCTCGCACTTAGAGATTTGTGGAATTGTTATGAAGAGTGGAGTGCATATGGTGTTGGTGCTCTCATTTATTTGAAAGATGATAATGAGAGTGTTCTTCAATATTATGCTCCTTACTTATCAGCGATTCAAATTTACATCGTCAAATCAACTTCCTCACTAATAAGGTATGAACGGAAATACATTTTTTATCTGTTTCCAAAGTAATCAAAATTACACAATCAAATTACCTTTTTTACCAATAAGGTATAAATGGAAATATATTTACTTTTCTTTTCCTGTTTATATTCAAGTAATGCAAATACAAAGGCTTATTTTCATAAAAACAGTCTAAAACTAGCTTTGTGCCTAATATCATCAATTTCTTCCTTTACTATATTTTGAAATTAGTCTTTTATTTTTAATCTTTAATTGTCTTATTTATTAGGCAGAATAGTTAGGGAGATAATTGTACTTATTTTAGTTTGTCAATTCTGTCTCTATGCTATGTGGAGTTTCATTCAAAACTAATAGTTTGGACATCTTTGACTGTTGACTTGACTTATATAATACTTATTTTACTAAGTAGGATAAAGTGTGTAATTACACACCCTTAAAAGTGAATTAATACAATAATTTACATTTAAAAAAAAAACATTAAAATCCTAAGGAGAAAAATAACAATAAGAAAGAAAAAGGAATGAAAAAAAATCGTCAACTTTCATTTGTCCCTTCACCAAAATACCCCAAGCCAAAATATAGAAAAGAGAAAAATGTAACTATCTAATTGATTTTCTCTTTCTCCTCTCTGCATTTTCTATCTTTTATTTTTATTATTTTTCACTAACATTAAATTATCACATCATAAGGAGATTAATAGCAAAGTACCCAAAGCTTTTTTATAACAAAAAATACCTGAAATTAAACAAACAAAAACATTCAAAAAAATTCGAAGGTGGAAGAACATATAAAAAGGAGTGGAAGTAGATTTATTTGGTAACTTGTGAGAGTATTATTGTTCATAGTGAAGTAGCCTTGAAAGAGGTTGAATTTTTAAAAAAGGAGGAGCAACCAAGAGAGCTTCTTTGTATCCTCTTTCACTTCACTTTTTATTTTCTCTTTAAGAAGATAAAATATATAATAAGAACTTTTGATAGATAGAATATAAAGTATATTCACTTTTTCTTGGAGATATGTGATGATTTGGTTGTTGATACTACTAACTTCACTCTTCAACAATGAATGACATTTGTACACAATTTGTTAATCATGAAAACTTTAATATAGCTTCATAAGATGTTGAATGCAAATCTAGAGATCATGTGTTTCAACAAATTCTTCCTTTTTGATGATATCAAACTCATAGCAACTTCATATGTACTCTTGTAGCATCTTCAATATTCATAAGATCTTGATGCCCCTCTTCTCACTTGATGATAGCTTCTATGTTGACAATCTTCTTTTTTTAAAACAAAGTTCTTTGTTGTTTCAACACTTTTGGTTGGGAACAAGTTATCCCAGGATTAATTATCCTGTGATTAGTTATCCTGGGATAACTTATCCCACCATGTATATGGGATAACTCATCCATCACTGTGATATAAATGGTGGGATAAGTTATCCAAACAAGACACCAAAATTTTATCACATGACTATTTATTTTTATCCCTCGCACCAAACGACCCCTTACAATTTCATGTCGATATATACAACAAACTTACTTCACATGATTTGTAAACTTATAGTAGTTCACCTCGATCTCTAAAAGGTTTATAAGATTCTTGAGTTTATAGACATTAACAACTTTAGCCTCTTTCAATTTGTACAAATAGCTAGGCTTACATAATAAACAAGAGTTGTGATCTTACTTAATCAGCTACATGACTAACCTTTCCTTCATTTGTAGTTTGTTAAATAGCTAGGTTAGATAACCTAATCATAATCATATGTCTCTTCAAATATATATTCTCCCTTATGTTTCTTATCAAAAATATTCTTCAACTTCCACACAATAAGAATGTTCTTAAAAACTTTATCCATTTGGCTTTATTAAAAATAGTAGTGCTAGGTAAAGGTCTTTTGTGAGCATGTCAATGTACGTTTTCTACTCAAGAATTCATCAAGCCTAATTAGAAAATGTTTAGACAGGTCCTTTTAATTCATAAAGACCATATCAAGTAGAAATTACATTTACTTGTACCCAGAGGCGGACCCACCCCTATAGATGAGCGTGCATGAGCACCTGTTAACTTCGAAAAAAAATCATGTGTATATGTATATCTATCTTGAGAAACTGATAGAAATTAGAATATAATTAACAGGGCACAAATAAGGAACATAGAAGTGTCATTGTGCTATTGGTAAAAGCTTGAGGAACCACCCGCGAGACCTGGGTTTGAATCCAGCTTGAGCGCTATTTCACTAAGATAATATTGGTGCACCCGAAGTTTTCAAATCCTGAGTTCGCTGCTTCTAGTTGTGCCACTGTTATGGTCAAATTTAGTTCTCTTTATTAAGAAAGAAGAGTTTCTAAACTTTGTTCCCTTGTCTCTCTTCAAAGAAATTATTGATATCTTTTTAATTCCTTCTTTCCTCCTTACAATGTTTCTTTTCTGCTTTATACTTTATTGTGTTTAGTTCCTCTTGTATCACCATTTTATTCTCATACAATTCTATTTAATTTCTTTAGTAAGAGTGTACCAATTTAAATATATAGACTTTTGAAAAAATTGATGATCCTGTTATGTGTTCTGTAGAAACTCATCTTCTGGAGATCATGATGTGGATTTCGAGACGGAATCTTGGAGTGATGCAAGTGAGAACAGCGAGAAGTTGTCGAGAACTATAAGTAACAACTCCATTTCTGCAGATTCATGTTTTGAGTGGGATGGTTCAAGAGACCGCCTTGGCTATCTCTATTTCCACTATTCTGAGACATGCTCTCCTTTTTGGAGAATTCCCTTTTCAGATAAGGTACACACATTATATTACTCTTGAAATGTCACATCTAATATGTAAATTTTTTTTATTTTTGACGTAACGTTATGGGCTACATTATATTGCAAGTAACAATTAAGTTGAATAGACTTTACTTGTATGCACAACACCAAAAGTTGAGACCAGTGAACCCTGTTGTGTTTTCCCTTAGGTATTTGAACTGTTTCTAAGTCACTATGTTTCATAAAGTAACTAATGTCACGGACTTAGAGTCTCACTAAAGCTCTGTGTGGCACATGACACTAAGGACTCATTGAATCCATAGAAAATCCTTCTTCATTGCTACATTCAACAATTTCTTCAGTATAATAACTTTGTTCCATAAGTAGAGATTGATCACATCGAGTCTACTAACTATATTAGGTAGTATAACATGCAATAGATCTATAATTCTTGACTTTAGTAGGAGAGGGGACTTTACCAAATCGGTGCCTCAATTTGAATAACCTCGGGCAAGGATTATGAAACATTCACTTCAATCGGAATTCTTGTATATGAGATTTTCTCAAAGTTGATTGTAAAGCAATTTGTGTATAAAGGTCTCCCTACTGCACTAGCCACTTTGATTCGAGGTTCAGTGGACCAATACCTCATAGGCAACCCAAGTAACTTCACCCATAGTGGGATTAGACAATGTCTTGATCAAAATCAAAATCAAGCTCCCATTGTTTGAGTATGATAGGCTTATTGTTATAGTAATATGGTCCATATTTAAGTACCTTTTCCTTAAGTATCCATATTTTGTTAGTCATTTCCTTGTAGGAAAAGGTTTACGACTCTATACATAGAGACCCGTTCCTTCCAACTTAATCAACAGTCACAATATAGTCCTAGGGGCTTTGAGAGTTTTGTATAGGGGGAGAAACGGTGAGACACAAATGTTATGTTAACACTTGTGTGGACCTCTTTTTATTCCGAGTGAATTGTGTGAGGTTACTTCTTCGATAATTTGTACTCTCATATTTATATAGTGAATTGCTCATCTCTTCATGTGGACGTAAATCGGTTGACCAAACCGTGTTAAATGTTTGTATCTCTTTTGGTATATTTCTCATTTCTCATTTCTCTTCTAACTCATAGACTTTTGAGGTTTGTTTGGTTAGCTTTCGCATGACACCGAATTATTTTGATCAATAGTATATATCATTTCACATCTTTTTATGAAGCTAATATTTGTTTGGGTTTGCTATAGAGCACTGAATTGTCTGCTGCAAGTTGGATGGTTGTTGCTTGGTACATATATATATAAATCTTCTTAGTCTTTATGTTTTTTTCCTTTGATAACTCTAGTTAAAGATGTTACAGAAATGCTTTCTTTCTCTTATGTTTAGTCAGTTTATTTTACATATCTAAGTTATTTGCTTTACATCATATTATTAGGTATCCAATATACCATGTTCCAATGAAAGCAATTACTAAAAATGTTTCTGCAAGCTTTCTTACCTACCATACATTGTTATCAACTTTCCAAGGTATGTATTTTAAACTCGCTATATTTGATTTAAGTTATACACACTGACAATGTAAGAATTTTTCGGTATCACTCTGCCCTACTTGACTGAGTGATGTGCCTTTTGTTTTCAGATGTTGCAGAAGAGAAACCCGATGGAGAAAGTGGAATTCATCTTAGTCCATTCGGTTTAGCTGCATACAAGATGCAAAATGATGTATGGCTAAACACTCATACAGAAAAGGACTATGAAAAACTATGTGATCTTCAAAATGCTGTAGATTCAGGGCTGAAGCAGCTTTCTTATAGTCACCATGACTTCAATTTCTTCACCGCGCATTCTAACATGGAGCGTGGAGGTTACTCATTATGAACTCATTCACAGCCTCCGCCATCATTCTTGTTATGTTTTTTAGATGGTTTTCTCCAAGAAACTGATGTACACTCTTTCAATTCATTTGATGGGGGAAAATTGTTAGATGGTTTGAGATATATTTTCCTTTGTGATTTGGGAGGAATTCAGTTTTGTACCAAAACCGTTGTAGAGCTTTGTAAACATCTCATGTAGCTCTATATTTCAACAAGTAGTAAAATTTTGGCCTAGGCTTTGGGCATTTGGTTAACTTACTGCATGGTTGCTATCAGTGCTATCTCTTGCCACAGGTTTCATCATGTGGATGTTCAAACCACAACAAAATTAAGTCCAAGTTGTATAGGCTTCAATCTTCTTCTTTTTTACAACCTAGAAACTCTGGAGTGTCAGGGTTCGAAACTCGGACGAATAATGAGTTCTTACCTCTAGTCATCTCCACTTACATACTTGGCGTTTATCTATAGCGACTGGCATGGTATGACGCCATAATGTGTGTCTAAATCACACGTCACGTGATGTGCTCTAATCATTATATCAAAGCCAACCTTGTGGTTGTTTATAGTTCAATCTTATTTACAAAAAATAATTCCCACTTAGAAGTTTTGGTTGCCAAAAGTCGACCTAGATACATATAATATCTCATCTTAACCTCATCACGTAGTCCCCATCCTCACCACCCCACGCCTCTATCACTACCCCACCTCTCATAGTGAAAAAAGGTAGCCTAATCACTAAACTCTTGCTATATGTAGGGTCCAAAAAAGTGTTAGACCACAAGGGTCAATTGTACGCAGTCTTACCCTACATTTCTATGTAAGGCTATTTCCACGGCTCAAATTTGTGACCTCCTAGTTACATGGCAGAAACTTTACTAGTTATATCAAGGCGAGCTACCAAAGTAGCATTACAATTCTACTTCACCTTCCATCTCTCATCTACCTTTCATATCTACCAAACTAGCATTACAATCCAACAAAGTTTGGAGTTCAATTGATAGTATCGTCAATCAGAACTAAAACAAAGGGATAAAGAAAGTACCAACATTCCAATCCCAACAAAGAAAAAAAATTCAAGAGGACTCAAATTCAAAGAGAAAATTATAATTGAGAAGGAGGTAGAAATTACCACACAAAGCAGCCCAAAAAAAAGTAACACAAGTATAAGAAAAATCAGATAATAACAAAACAATACACAAAGAATCAACAAATAATCAGAGAAATTAAAGGCTACCGGGGTGAAACTACTAATATTTTGTGCAAAGAATATATGGTTGGGTAAAAAGGGAATCCAAAAGGGTTTATAAAAAGAGCACTCAAATCAAATTACATAGAAACACAATTTTCGCCCAAATAAATTGGGTCATATCAGATACTACAAAATTTAAAAAAGATTCAAGGGGTTTGAGATTTGGGTTTAGAAATAGAAAAAGGAGGCAAACACAACTCAATTGGGTCTGATCTGAGTATCTACAAACAAATCAAGGATGGTTAATTGGGAAGGAAGTTAGCAGAGTAGTTGTTGAATGAAATGGAGAAGGGAATGTGTTGGAATGTATGCGTCCCCTAGTTACGATAGGACCAAGTTCTTAGCACAATTAAGATTAACAGAAGATAAGTACTGAAAGTAAAGATAGAACATGCAATTTTATGTGGAAACCTCCTTGCTAAAGGGAGTAAAACCACGACCTGTCTCACAGGGTTTTCAAACTGCTTTTACTAAACTTCACAAGCCAAAGTAAAACCCAGTTTACAACACACGAGATTAACCACCTAATCTCTATTTTGAGTAATACACTACCACTCAATGAGCCTAAGCAATGCTTGCATTACCCACTATACTAACTCAACTGATTAATATAGACTTTAGCGTAAGACACGAAGTTGCCCTCAACTAAGTTCTTACAAGGATTCACCCAAGTTTGAAACTTTTCTAACACAAGCAAAATGAATCCTACAATATAAGCACAAATACAAGCAATCAAAGTAACAGCTGGTTCAGGAAGCAATTGAACAGTCTATGAGGTCCCTTGCTGTTTTTGAAGCTTGAATATCTCTCTTTGCATGAATGAGTGATTTATTGTTTGTCATATTGAATATATCAAACATCAAGAGTTAATACCCATCGGACAAACAACCTCGTCTCTTTTGATTGGTGTGGTACATTGACGACCTCACCAACTTCTGTCGCGAACAACTTTCCAACTTATAACACATGGGCCTAGACGAGCATACTCTACAGAGGATCGTGTCCCTGCATTTGTGAGGAGATCATCAAAACATCTAGGAGCATTAAGACTTATCATTTTCGCCCTTTTTGAAGATGACAAACAACCTACAAGTAGCCTCACATGAGTTAATCATTCATTCAGAAAAAAAAAACATTAGTTCCCCCTATCAGTAGTATTCCCATCCATAAGCAGTTCCCCCCAACTATAGTATTCCATCCATGTCTCCTCTTTTCTCTTCTTAATTTCACAAGCAGTTACAATAAAATTCACCCTTTTGACATCATTGAAAAGGAGTAGTAGTAAACATAAGCTAGCTGCATGCAAAGCGTTAGGAAACTCTAGGCCATGGGCCACACATTACATGCACAAGTAAGCAGAAAAAGAGAAGATAAAAACATACTAGACAGGGCACAACAAGAAATATCATTAGATCACAGAGCTAACCACATAAGTCAGTCAATGCAGTACACTTTGTAACTTGGCCACTAGAGTTAGAAGGAAAGACTGGATGACATGGGGACATGACTCATTTAGGACGGAGGGGGAGTGAGGTATTTCATCAACAAAGTCATTCACTCATTTGCATCAACATGAGCTTGAATGATTTTCTTGTTGAGAACTTTGACTTCCTCACTGGGTAAGGCATTTGTCTTCAGCAACTGCTCATTCTCAACTCTCAACTTTTCGACTCTTTCTCATCCACAGTATTAGTACCAGGTCCCTTGGAGATAGCCCTCTGCAACTGAGCCTTAAGTTGTGCAATCTCAACCTCCTTATCATTTAGGATTACTATAAGGTTAGTTAGCTCTCATTTGAGAGAGGCTTGCTGCTTTAGAAGATCTGACACTTGAGACCTACCCTTTGCCTTTCCCTCAACACATTCACACTCCAAGAGAGTGACAACAGTAAACATCTGCTTAACAATACTAGGTACTCTTCGTCCAAGAGGCACTTCAAAATGTCTGAACACATGGTTTAGCAAATAGCTAGAAGGAATGCCATGTTTGGCTACCTTCCAAGTCATCACCCTGTGCATATGTTCAAGCATTATAGCAGGAAGATTGATTTCCTCAAGTTAATCCAGTTTCTCCATGAGAAACAGATCAACAGCAGATGCTACAGTTCTCTTCTCTGTCCTTGGTACCAATACCTTATTGATGAACTCAAACATTAAATAGTACTCCTCTTTGAGAAAATTTTTAGGAAGACTTGCTCGTTTGATGTCCCCACACTTTATGGCCTGTTTAGTAAACTCACTGAAAGGTTTGCAGCCTTCGATTGACCGGATCCCTTTCACAGGAACACCCAAAATAATTCCCAGAGTTTCCTCATCCACACATATCTCAACCTTTTTAACAGTAGTCCTAACCCGCCCCCATCACTCAGCAACTCAATCTTATAGAAGAATTCACGCACATATGGTTCATGCAAGTATAGTGCTGGGGCTTCAAATAGGTGATTCCAACTTTGTAGGGAGATAGAATAAAAAAAAGTGGACATACCGAATTCTGTGAGGATTTCAGGGTCGAACACTCTGCCATTCAGCACCTTTTGGTTTTCCATTTATGCTATACGTTCTTCCTTGATCATCACCTTTTCTTCAACTGGCTTTTGAACACGAGGACCTGGTCCCTTGATGGGTTTTGGTTTCACGGTGGCCTTTTTACTCACACTCTCCTTCTTCACAAGAGATTTTTTCATTGATTTGTGACCCCTTTTAGATTTAACCCTCTCAATCTCTGCTTCCTTCCTTCGTTTAGCCACATTTATAAAGATGTCATCAGATTCAGTCTCACTAGACCCTACATGCAGAGGTGTTGAGGTAGGTTCCTCAGGCATAATACCATCCCTTCTTCTATTCCTGTTTCTTTTCGTTTGAATTTCATTTGCTGCTATGGCACGTCCCATAATATTTTGCATCTCTCCTCTAGTGGCATATCTTTTCTTGTCCCCTTTTGTGTGAGACTCTACCATCTTCCCTTTGCCCTTTATTTTTATTTCATGTTCACACTCAACAGGTTCATTGTCAAGTTTAGTTTCAGGAACAACATCAACTCATTCTAGATATGGGACAACTATTGTTGAGGCATTAGCACCTCGAATCCCTTTCCTATGCCATACCAAGGGAGATTCTTCCTCAGCCTCTTCCTCACTATCAACATTAAAAGACTTAGGAGTTTAGTCGAATATGGATTGAGTACTGTGAGGGACCTATTCCGGCGATCTCAACTCTTGTTCCAACAGTGTTGGTTGAATATCTCTTCTAAGGGAGGCCAAATTTTGTACGACCACCAATTCCTCTGCTGCTGCTAGAATATTGGACTTTGGACCCTTTCCCACAGGCAAATTTCCTTCGAATAGTCGCCCAGACATGGCAGAAGACATATCCCTAGAGGCCAGTTCTACTTCTTCAATGGAGAGTTCGATACTGGGCTTTACAACTGACTAGGCCTCGAAATTTAGGGATTTGTCACCAGATAGAACTAAAGTAGGAGAACAAGGTAAGATTTCCCCAAATTGGAGTGCAGGAGACACCACCACTACAGTGTGGGGTGTGTTAGATTTGCCAGTCTCACCAACACCACTGACTGGTGTGGAAGGAGATTCTTCGGGGGGAGGAATGGAGAAATTGAATGAACTGGGATTTTCAATTTCTTGGGAGACAGGAAGTTTTGAGGATGAAGAGGAGTTAGTCATTTTGTACCCTTTTTTTATGCGAGAGAAGAAAAGACTTAAGAAGAAAATAGTGAATTCAAAGAAGGATTAGAAAGAG